GGAGGGAGGGGAGGGGGGGATTGCCCCAGGGATAAAAAGATTTAGTGGTGTCTTAATGTCTTGCTTACGTGTAGATGTACATGTATTGTTTTGTTTTAATAAGCGTTTTACGGCTCTTTCAACATAATTAAGTCATATGAGTGCCAAAGGTTAGAGGTATTACACACGAGCAACAAACTCAAAAAGGAGGAGAGATAAGGACGATAGATATGATAGGAATGAAGTAGCGAACCACACCAGGCACCCGCCAACCAATAACTCAGTCAGATCTACGTAGTATACGTTTGTTGTCGGTGAACGCATAGCGTATGCATTCTTTGGTGATTTCGGTAAAGTTTTCTTTTTTTGGAGTTCTGGGATTTTGGTTTTCTTTGGGGGGTTTTAAATTTTTTTTAAAAAACATATTTTGTAACAAATGAACGGTTGTTAATGTGTACAACACTCCTTTCAATTCGATAAGAATGTATAGGAGGCGGGACATCCTGCATAAAAAATAATATTATTGTCCATCTCTGACAGAATGAGTTCAAATTGGTTCTCCAGCTGATGAAAACTTCTCAGAGAACCCAAACTTTAAAAATAAAAATTGTTAGGGATTGAAATCAGAGTGGTCTGCGCTATAGTTCAGAAAGGTACAAACAGAGATGACTACTTTCCCTCCCTCGCCATAGTTAGGTGTAAGGCAAGGACACACTATACAAAGCTGTTTAAAAAAGTAAGTGTATGGTTTTAACGCGCCAATCAACACTATAGGTTAATTTAAGAGGGGTGACCTCCAATTTTAACGTCCGTCCCCGATAGGACCAAGCCAGGTGGGTTGAGAGCCTTGAAAACTCCACCATATTACCCGATGAGTTCAAGAACACCCATAGTGTGGGATTCGAACCTGGCCAATCCGCTTGGCCGTCTAGCATGATACCAACTGAGCTATACAGCGCCCCGTAAAGCTGTTTATAATACCTGTTGATCAAGATTGCTTCAAAGAACCTCGATCGGCGTCTATGATATACCGTTTAGGCGCTTCGTCATCGCAGGCAGAAGACGTAAGTTCAATTCCAGTCGTGGTGGGTGGAGGGGACTTTTTAAAAATCGAAAATCTCCAACTGTTTTCTGAGACGCTGTGTACATTACGTACGAGTACTTCGGACCAAATTGACCCAGACAGGCAGAGGGTGAGTGGTTGGCAGGTGCTCTGGTGTGGTTTGCTTCTTCTTTCCTGTCAGACATCTATCGTCCTTATCTCCCCTCCTTCTTTTTTTATGTTTGTTACTCTCTTGTAACTAATGTAACACCTCTAATCTTCTGGCGCTCATAATATGACCTTACGCAGTTACGACCGCCGCAAAACCTCTACTAAAACTAAAGACAAGCAGAATCAAAACAGTCCGCCTCCTAGATGGTCTAAACGGTGTCAATTGGGTCGTAAAGCTTCTACAATGACATGCATTGTAATTTTTTTTTTTTACGTCAGAAGCTCTCTCATTAGATATATTTTTATTTTCCCCTTTCCTCATTCTTCTACAGCTCAACCAACAATGGCCTGTACGTGTACAATTCACAAGACCGCAACAGACCCACCAACATTCCCAATGCTCACGGTAAGTTTTGCCACTTTTTTCTTCTCCACCATCGTCGTCATAATCGCCTTAGTTTTTGTGACATTAGTGACTGATAAAGACCATCATCATCATCATCATCATCATCATCATCATCATCATCATCATCATCATCATTTGGAAAGCAGAGTAGGAGGGAGAGTCTTGTTTGAATTTCAGACAAAATAACGTAACAATAAAACATGTTTAAAATTTGTTTAACTAGACCGAGCGCAATGTCTCGCCTCTTGGGCTTCCTCGGGAGCAACTGAGGGAAAAACTAAATGGGCGCTGTAAACTAGCAGGGAAATATGGGCATAACACCATCATCGTCATCATCATCATCATCATCGTCGTCGTCGTAGTCGTCGTCTGTGTTGTATAGTACCGTATCAAAAATGAAAATGTCTTGGTTATCAAGAAATGTTCAACTTTTCGTCCTGCTCATTGGGCTTAATCGGGTCAGGAACAAACGAGATGAACATACGTTGTAAGAAAAATCACCATCACCATTGTTGTACAGTACGCAAAATAAAAATCGTGTTTTCTTTTATCTGTCAACAGCCGTGGTATTCCAAATATGCATCCAGAATCGCTACAAATTGGACAAGAAGTACCGCAAATGCCTCAGCACATACCAGACAGAGAGCTCGGAGCCGGCTGTCAAGGCTATACTTGCTCAGGCGAAGGTACGAAAGGGAGAAGGACGAGAAATAAAACTGGAGATAATAATTAATATTGTTATCTGTAGGCTAAATACTTGCGCGCGCGACATGCACACACACACACACACACACACACACACACACACACACACACACACACACACACACACACACACACACACACACACACACAAACCTCTTAAATCTTGCTATTTTCC